TAGATAAGTTATTTTCACAGAGTGGGAAAGGGCTGAGGATTTGCTTAATGTAGTCACTTGGTACAGACTAATTTTGTTGTTTTTAAGAGGTAGTTTCAGATGTCTCCTTAGTTGACCTTATGAATTAAATATATAAATAGTACTTCAGATCTTTGTCACTGGCAGTGACCCTTGTGTTATATGAAACCATGGCCTGTGAATTGGGGGGGCGGGGGCAGTTATCTCAAACCCAAGCTTGGGGGAAGGAGCAAAAGTTGACAGGTTTTTTTTTTTTCTTTTTTAAGAGACCTTCAATTATAAAGAGTAAAATAATTGCAAGCAGTATGTGGGGTAAAAAGCCAAAGTATATCTTCTAGAAACTTTATATTTAAAAAATGATTCATTCAATTCAGAATTCCTCTAGTTGCTGTTTCTAAAATGAGAGGTGGAAGCTCCCCACTGCTAGGATGCTACCAGGCCCCCAAATTTCTCTTATGGGTTCTGTATATAATAGATGTGCTGTTACTATTTATAAAACATGCTGATGCACACGCCTCCCTAGACCTTGCATTACCATTACACAACAAAACCAGTCGTTCCTTATCGTTTCTCTTTCCAGTGCTCACTTGCCAAACACCTGCTTAGATCATATTTCATTACCTTTTAGAAAAACTAAGCTACTGTACACTTACTTCTCAAGTCCTTGTGATAAACTAGGGGTGTTTATACATGTGCTCCAGGAGTGGGCTGGAGGGAGGGGCATTTTCATTAGAGTGGCTCTGAGAGCCTCTATCTAAAGCACCCGGAGCATCGCATGTATCAGTGTCCCCACACTGAAAATGGAGGGCGCTTTAACTGAAGGTCATTCAGCAAACTTTAGTTAAAGTGCCCCTGCCAACATTTTTCAGCACAGGGATGCTGATGCTCGTGATGCCACGTCTGCTGGAGCATGGTAATTGCCACACTCCAGCAGACTCAATAGAGTCTGCTCCAACACACTGTAATTACAGTGCGTTGGAGCAGCTTTGCTGCACGTGTACAGGTGCCCTCGATGTTTTTATCTAGAAATCATGCATGTCTGTGATTTGTTGATGACGCATGGAAATTTAGCAGTTTTGTTCTAATCTGACAGGGGTCACAACATGAATGCTTCTGCTATGGCCGTGTACATTTACTGCTACTTCATGAAGCGAGGACACAAACCAAACTGCAGCTATCATAAATAGGTGAATTACTGTATGTTAGAAGGATCTTTGACAGGAGTCTTAGCATATTTACAAAGTCTAGTGATTCAGTTTTTGCATGTAAGTGCTACCAGGTTGCAAGTAATTTGTTTGCTTACCTGCTAGTTTTCTATACAGGTTTTCCTCGCTTTATGCAGGTTCTGTATGTGCAAATTTGCTCTTATGTGATCACCCTTTTTATACCAAAAATGTTATGTGAGATGATAAATTCACTCTTATGCGACTGGTGTGGTGGAAGCCTGCACTCAGCTGCTTTGTGCGGTGCATTGTGTGGGTGATGTGCCAACATATAGAGTGTCCTGTATGTTGGATGTCCTGGATCTATGCTCCTTACTTGTTGTTGTCTGCAACATGTTTCTGTCGTTGCCATTCCCATTATGATAGTTCCCTGTGCTTGTGTGTACTGTCTGCTGTTGGTGAGTACCAAAATTGTCTTGCAAAAGTGGTAGAAATGGGTCTGGGGGTCAGGACAGTCAAGGTCTTGGAATGTATCCCTATTTGTTACACTGTAAAGTGGGTTCCCTTTATGCAACTTACAGTTATGCGCTGTTTTCCAGGAATGCATGTATGGCATAAAGCAAAGGGAAACCTGTGTGTACAGTTTAACTTCATAAATCCAGATGCCAGAAATTCAGAATTTTCAAAAATCCGGTGCTTCCCCCTGCCCTCCCAGACATGGAGGGGGAAGCTTGCATGTCGCGGCTGGTGCCACTGCCATTAACCACCCCGTGCCGCTGCTCTACGTGCAGCCTCTTCCGCCCTCTCTCCTGCTGCACCGGTTTAAAAAGTATGGCACTTTCAAATTTTCTGCAAGTGCTTGGTCCTCAGCATGCTGGATTTATGAGGTTACGCTGTGTGTATGTGTGTAGACAAAGAAAACTAGTAGGTAAATAAATAAACGTGTGTGATGCATTTGAATTCAGTAGGACTTTGCTCAAGAAAAGCTTGAAGTCTTTTAGAACTGAACATTACTGAGAGCTGGCTAGCAGTACAAAATCACCAACTTGTACTAAAGGCAGCTCTCGGTAAAGTTCAGTTCTAAAAGACTTCAAGCTCTTCTTAGGCAAACTCCTGTTGAATTCAAATCGCTAACAACTTGGCACTGAGGGCTAGAGAACAGTGCTCTAAACAAACAGAAACCGGTTTCTACCAATGCCATTGAACTGAAGGGCAAAAAGCAAACCTACAGCAGCAAAAACGAATTCAGTATTTGCAAGCTTGCTTGTCAAAGCCATGTTGAATACAGTAACAGAAGTGTCCTTCTCATAATGGTAGAACAAGTTAATGTTAATTATCCAGGGCATCTTCCTGCTAAAAACAAAATTGTTTTCTAAACTAAATATAAGAGCACTGCATCCAGTCTAGCTTTAAATGCTAATAAATTATAGAGGCTAAGAACTTCCTGCTCATATTCAGCCTGAAATTAACTTATTCATTCAATTGCATAAACATAACCATTTGGTAACTCCCAAATTAATTCCTCCTTTCTTCCAGGCTGTTTTTAAATCCAGTTTGGTTTATATAACTTGTTCATTTCCTTTGTGCCTTCAAAGTCTGTCAGCCTAGCTTTTGGTGCATCCTCTGTCCCAGAAAGAAGGGAAGTGATGAATGGTTAAGGAAAAGCTCAGCAGACAGCCTTTGTTTATCATCCTCAGCTCTCAAATTGCTTAGTTGTTATGTGAGGGTTTTCCAAGAGATTCTTTAGGTGAGTAAAGACTGATGAAAATGTTATCTGTTTCTGTTCAAGAATGTAATAATTTTTTTAAGTAGTGGTGCTAGGATTGGAGAACCAATAATTCATTAGCAGATGGCATAAAGAGTATAGTAAGGTTATCTCAGGAGGAGCACTCCCTATCTATTTGACTAATGCCTTATGAAAACTAGTGCACTGAATAATACAAAGGGCAAATTTGAAGAGATGCAAGACAGAACTTATTTGATGGCTAAGTCATGACCTTTATCTCCCCCCAGAGGACATTTTAAAATGGCAGTCAAGGTGCCTGCATGTATTGGTTTTGACCTCTTCTTTTTTGGTAATGTTGCCATACTTTAATGCTTTATAAATTAAGCTGGGCTTGGAGACAGTGGATCTCAACCAATGCAGTATGAAACAGTATTTAATCATGTTATTTCTTTGCAATGTGTGTTCTCTTCTTTTTGCTTTGCCTGAAAATTCAGTTCTTAGTTTTCTTACACTTTTATTCTGCTTATTGTGGTGATCCCTGTTGATTTGTAATTCTGCTTCATATGTGCCACATTCATTGCAGTTGCCTGAATTTGGCTAGGAAGGTAAACTAACTTGTACTCTTATCTCTTAGCTTGCTATGAATTGTCTGTGATGAAGGATACTTTGTGCCCCACAACTTGTCTACATCTCCCTTAACTCTAGAGTTGGTCCAATAAAAGATACTGCAAAAAAAGAACCCTGCTGTTACATATTTCCTGGACCATCATGGCTTTAGCAAATACTCCACCCTGCAATTGCAGCAAAGAGGGACTGAGCAGGTAGCATAGCTGAGCCTGTCCCCATTAAGGGAACTCTCAGAGACTCTGAGTCAATTATACTACTTGAGCTAAGATAGGGGTGTCAAACGCACCTCGGGCCCCTGGTTAGATCTAGACTGTAGTTCTTTACAGGCTGGATCCAGCCGGGGGGAAGCAGGTTGGTATGCAGTTGGGGTTCTGGGGCTGACAGCGAATCCATGGAGGTGGATCTGGGGTTGATGGTGGCAAGCTGAGCTCACTGCCAACAGCTAGGGCCAAAGGGGCCCTGAATTCCATGGCAGGCCACAGCCCCCAACTTCTGGTAGCCCAGTGGGCAAGTTAGAAAGGCTTTGTAGGTCAGATGTAGCCTGTGGGGTCATATGTTTTGACCCCCTTGAGCCCAAGTTCTTTGTAACATGTGCTGCCATGTAAACCAATAGAGAGAGTCTGACTTGACTAATTACACTTACGGGTTAAATGAAAACACTTGTATTTCTTTCTCTGTATATTGAAATAGTAGCCATATCACTCAGAAATATGATGGAAAAAATATGCCTCGTGGAACCTAAGCTATACTTGGGAGGGTTCGGTTCCATAAATTCTAACTTTATGTGAATGGGCTTGCTCATATTATTGGGATAATGTCTTAAGAGTTGGGTCCCAGTCGGAGGTGGTAAGGCATTAGCGTTGAGCTCCATTTTATTAATTTTTCAATCTCTCATTTTGTCGAATTGAAACATTTGCCTACTTAATTTTTTTTCTGTATGCAATTATTTTTAAAAGGCAGAATCTTGGTATGATTCTTGCTTTTCAAACAGCATACCCTATTGAATTCTAGTTCAACGTGAGCCCCCTTTGTGTACGCATTTAAAGCATTACATTTTGGAAACAATATGCCCCACGGTAGAGAACTGATGCTTGTTTAAAATTGCTTTTACTTGTTTGCGGGGGCAGCAGAGATCTGAACTATTCATGGGGATGTGTTCAAAAGGCACAGTGTATCACCATAAATGTGCAGAAAAATAAAGCTTTTCAACAAATGGTTTCTTTGCATGTAAATCTCAGTAAAGCTGACCTACTTGAACCTGAACTGTTGCCTTGGGGAATTTCACAAGTGCTGCTGAGCTTAAAATTGTTGAAACCTGAGTAATGAAGAAGGCTATGTGGTTAGGTGGGAGGAGCAGATTCAGCACAGTCACTGAGATGCCGGCTACAACCAAGTGCAGTTGTCAACAAGCTGCAGAGAACCTTGATGCAAACGTGCGACTATAATCCGATGTGCAGGGAAGAGGATATTTGGCAGGGTTAAATTGGTTTTCCCTCTGTAGATTAGCACAGCTTGCAGTATGAGCCACAGCCACAGTCTTGTGGCTCAGATGTCTCTCTTGTGAATCAAACACTGGTGGTGTCTGAAGGCAAGTATACCTCTAAAAGCTTGTTGCTTTCATAGGAGAGAGACTTAGCAGCTGTTTGCTAAAGTAAATGTAAAATTCAGGCTGTTTAGAAAGTTTTAATGCAATTATCTGCTTAGGAGTTTGCCTTTTAATTGTGTTGGATATATGCAGAGTCCAAGTATACTACCAGTTTTCTAAATCTATAGCTATTATTTTTGTTACTGCTATTTTGTGTGTGTGTGTATGCGTGCACGTGCCAGGTGTGTAATATGAGATTTGTTTACAGATTTGCTTGTTGAGGCGTGTCAGTGTATAGCACTAGAAATGTCAGTCCATATTACTGTCTCGCACTTGATAGTTGTCTGGTTAAGAAGCTTGCCTCCCTTTCTCAGCTTTTGTAGAATTAATTCATTTAAGATTGTGTCTGTCCAGCTGTCTTTCAAGGAGGAAAGAAAATGTTCCCTGTTCTTTCTTCTTTCCTCCTTTTCTCCCTCCCCCCTTCCCCTCCCAACAAAAACACTTTTTTTTCCCTCCTCCTTTTGAAAACTGCCTCCAAAGGAAAAAACTCCTTAAATAGGTTACTGGTACAATAGTAACATTACTTGATTGCATAATAGCCCTGTGTCTTGAATCAGCTTTTATAATTTTTTTTGCACAGTGTTTAGTTTTGTTTAAAAGTTCTGTTTTGTTCTGGAGAGTTAAATGCATGGTATTTAGTTTAGACCTTTAATTTGGTGTGCCCACTAATACGTCTATCCCCAGCAGGTTTTTTCTCCTTTTGTTTAGCCCATGTATTTTGAGGTTTTTCTGTTTAAAAAAATCCTATTAAAACCACAACCTTTGCAAGCTGTTTGTGCTGGGAAGTGTTTAGACCTTTTGTTTGCCTCTCCTCTCTGCATTCAGATTTAGTTCTGAATGGTACATATGAAGCAATATCATAAAAGAATGTCTTAAGCTTTGTGATATGATAGATTTATCAACTGGCTTTAAATTTGCTACCAAAGAAGCCTTGCTTTATCTGCAAGCAAATATGGATCATCCATCATATTCTGCAAAATGTTTGCAGGAGATATGCAGCCTTCATTTGAAGAGAATAGGTCAAAAGATTACTTTGGAAAAAAGTGTGTTATATACACTTGAGACAATAGGGCCTTTTGTCTGTTGGCTTTACTCAATTACCATTTTTGAATTGCATGGTGTTATACTACCTTACATTTTTTACCTAGACGATGCAGATGGTTGCATTTATTAAGTAAATTTTAAAATTTATCTTTAAAAGAATTTGAACTATTCAAGTCAGGGAGCACTTGTGCTTGGAATATGGTCAGGATTTAGAATTGGTTACTGCACAGTTCACATTGATTAGTCTGCTGCCTGTAGTTTGCTGGTAGCTACATGTTTGGTTGTTTTTGTTTGTGCATGCCTTTTAAAAGTATGTAGTTTTTTTGCTGCTTGTTCCCATCAATTTTCTATAGCTCATAGCAAAATGTTCTTTGTGGATACAAGAGAATAAAGTTCTGAGACTAGGAGCAAAAATTGCACCCACATTCTCACCCTCTCGTTTTTATAAACCTGATTGATGCTTTGGTCCATAAGACCTGATCTTAGAAGAGTAGATTCTGTTCAAAATATCTTCCTTTCGATTTCTAAATGTACCGGTAAACTCTTGTGGGTTTCTCTCTACACTTATCAAATTTGTATTTGAAAAAGTAGTGGGCATTATGTAGTTTGTAGGCCACTTAACACGGCTTTGCAGATCACCAGGGATCTCTAGGTCACAGTTTGGGAGTCCCTGCTTTAAATCATGTGCTGCTTGTATTAAGAGCACAGAAATCCTGGCCTGGATATCAATAGTCATGGAATGAAGTGGGATGCTGACTGCACAACATGTACAGTGTCAGTACAGACTGTCCCTTGTTTGTCCTCCAGAGCACAACAGCACTGCAGTGTTATAGCAGTAGCTCTTTAAAAAGGAAAAAAAAATCCTCTCCTCAGATGCGCTGGCCAGAAGTGAAGGAACATGGAAAGCTTACTTGTATTTATTTATACAAGTAACTTAGTCAGTTTCTAGTTCTCCACTTCTTTTGAAACTGGAGAACTACTAGTCAAACCCACTCAGCAAAATTAGATTGACTGCTAAGTACCTCTCCACTAAAATTAGAGTAGATCCTAAAAACTGCATTTTAATTCAAGCATTAAAGATGGAAATGTGGACTTCCCAAAGTTTGCCTGTATAAAGATAAACCTGTATAAAGATAAAGAGAAACCTAGTTGAGTGTAGTATCAGACCTAACTGATTTAGGTCAAACTCGTTTAAGAAACTTCTGTCCCAGACCCCTTCTTGGTTCAGGTTAAATCACGCTCCCCCCCCCCCCCCCCCAGGCATGCTTTCCAGCTCTGGATTGGGCTGTGCTGTCTGCTCCAGAGAACAGGGATGACCAACCCCAGATCTGGAGCAGTGAGGGCTGGCTGACAAAGGTGGGGGCAAGCCTGGCTGGTGATGCAGTCCAGTCTCCAGGGGGATTGGGGGGGGAGGGGGCTGCCCTACCCTACCCTACCCCCAGGCAAACCGTGGGTGGGGTCTGGGGTCAGGGAGGGGGGTTAAACACCCCTTCTGCTCAAAATTACCACTGGCTATGACTGGACTACAAATCCCCAAGGCACCTGGAAGCAGGAAGAAGTAGTGATGAGCAACCCTGCAGAGTCCTGCTGCCGTGAGTCTGGACTGCAAATCCCAGAGACCCTAGGGGCAGCAGGAAGAAGTAAACACACAGCCAGAGTTGTGCTCTAGCACCCCACAGCAGGCATGTGGCTGCATTTCCTGAATCAAAGGTAGATGTCCGTTCACTTATGTTTCAATTTAATCTGTGCATTTTAGACTAACCTGCAAAGACTGGATCAGTTTGGCCTCAGGCTTTTTGACTGTCTGTACCTAGCCCAGGTGCTGAAATGCACAAAGTGAGTACATATATAGAGATTGCCTAACACTGAAACTAGAGGTGCACAGATACATTGGTCCCATGTCAGATTGGCACCGATTTTACAAGGAAAGTTGACTGTATCGGCAGTCACCTTTTTTTGGCTAATGTGGCCGGTTTTGTTTTTTTTTAATGCCACAGACTTTTAAAAGCCCCGTGCATGTGCGCAGCTGCAGAGCAGTGTGCAGGCAGCCAGGAGTGCAGCCCAGCAGCATGGAGAGCAGGGGCAGGGGCTACAGGAAATTATTTTGGGGTGGCTGCAGTCCTGTTCCCTACTGTAGCCCATCCCCTCCACCTGGAAAAGCCTGGAGCCACCCTGGCCTTAGCCTGCCTTCAACCTGCACAAATCTGGGGGCACACCCCATATGCCCTCCTAGGGTGGGTGCATGCAGTGGCAGGAGCTGTCCCCTCCCTGTGCCTCCTAGATGAGCTGCTCATGGCTCCATTCCGCATCCTGCCCTGGCTGCACAGCCCCTGCCTTAGCCCCAGCCCCATTCTCTCCTCCTGTGTGGGGGCCTTGGTCCAGCCCTCCAATCCGCTTCCCTGCCCCTGCCCCTTCCCCCACAATGGACTTATCAGCTGGACTGTGCTGTCTGTGCTGCCGGGCTGCATATCTGAGTCGGATCGGTATCAGCCGATTTATGGCTTGTTTAAAAATTGGCTTGTTAAAAAAATTCTCTATTGGTACACCCTTAACTAAAACGTATTAAATTGATTTTGTCCATTGTGGGCCTTAGATTCCTTTATAAAACAAGAAAAAAAGTGTGTATGCTTCAGATGGCAATGTTCCATCCTTTCTAAGAGAAATGGGGCCAAATAATTTGACAATAAGCCACCTCCAAGTAAACTCAAATGCACAAGAATTGATTTGGAGTCCTTTTTAATTTTAAGATGGACTAAACTGAGGGGCTAAGTACAGACCATCAAAAAGCCCAAGACTGAATTGATTCAGTCTTTGCAGGTTAATCTAAGGTGCAGAGTTTGAAGTGATAAGCAAATAAACATGCATTTATCTTTGATTCAAGAAATACAGCCACATGCCTTTAGTGGCTCAAGTCAGAAGCTGGGGGACACCAGAGCATTCTTGCCTGCTAGCCACTCAGTCTTTTCCCACCTTCCTGCTGCAGCAGAACAGGCATGGCCGGGCCCCAACCTGTGCTCTGCTTGTGGTGGGGACTGGACAGGGGGAGGAGGGAACAGCAGGAGTCAGGGAAGGTAATAGCATAGTTCTTTTTCTTAAAAACTATAGATTTGAAAATTATAAATAGTCTGGGAGGTGTGTTCACTTAGCCTTCCTGCTCCCCCCAAGGTCTCTGGGATTTCTGGTCCAGCAGCACAGTAGCAGGACTCTTAGGGCTGCTTGTCGCTTCCTCTTCCAGAGGCACATGGAAGCAGGGACTTATAGTCTACAGTTGCAACCAGCACTAATTAAGCTGGCAGGGCAGGGCAGGGCAGCTCTATACTCTGGGCAAGGTGAGTTTAACCCCCATCCTTCTCCCCCCTCCCAGGCCCCAGCCAGGGGTGGGGGGAGGGGGAGCAGTGAGCCAGCCCTTACTGCTCCAGCTAGTGAGTAGAGGGGTGAGCCAGCTCTGTTCTCTGGAGCAGACAGCCCAGCCCAGCCCAGGGCTGAAAGCCATGCTGGGGTGCTGTGGGACTGTGATTGAACTTGAACCAGGAAGGGGTTTGGCACAGAAGCTTCATAAACCAGTCTGACCCAAAGCATAGATTTCATACACATTAGGGGCTGGAGGGGACCTCGTGAGATCAAGTCCAGCCCCCCACCAGAGGCAAGAAGTCTGCAGAGTTTGGATAATCACAGCAAGATAAACATCCAAATGCCTCTGTTCCATTCAGACTGTAAACAAGTTTTTCCTTATACTGAGTCTGAATTGGCCTTCTAGAAGTTTGTGGCTGTTAGACTGAGTTATCCCTTGGGGAGCCCTCGTGAGCAACTATTTTCCCAGGTCATGATGCACCCTCTTTATATACTTATAGGCAGCCACCAAGTCCCTCCTGAGCCTTCTCTTCCCAGGCTGAAGAGTCCCATGTCCCTGAGCCTCTCGTAAGGCTGCTCTTTTGGCCTTTGATCATATGGCTGGCTCTCTTCTGGACTCTTTCAAGCTTATCCACATTCCTCCTGAAATGGGGGGTGGGGGGGCAGAAATTGGACACAGTACTCCAGCTGTGGCCTCAATAAGGTAGAGTTAAACAGGAGGATGACATCCCCAGTTTTGCTCGAGATGCGTGCCAGAGTTTGGTGCTGGCCACGGCATCACATTGGGGCTCTTGTTCATTTTATGGTCAGTCAAGACCCCCCAAGTACCTTTTGGTCGCAGTGCTAGCAAGTGTAGCACCACCAAGCCTATAAGTATGATCAGTGAAGTCTACATTCAACCAGGCTTATCTTAAACCAGTTTCAGCCATTTTGAAACTGGTTTATGTACACTGAACTTCTATCCTGTTACAGGTTTAGACTAGTTTCTGATCACTTACACTGGTTTATATGCAACTTCTGTCCCTAGCCAAGATGTAGGAATGAAATAGGAAATTATCCCTCAATGTTTTAACTAGTGTTGTTTTTTAGCATTTTATGGAATGTTTAGGCGTGGGTCTTTCTCTCCCCCCTTCCATTTTGTTTTTTTGTATAATTTTATTTGTGTTCTGCTTTCAGCTATAGTAAACGTGGGCTAGGTGTCATAGTAAAAGCCAATTGGAGGTATGAGGTGTCTATTTTACTTTGTGAATACCAAATGTTGGGGAACAGGACCTTTTTTTTTCCCCTCCAATACTCAGACGTATTGAACAGTAGCTTCTCAAAGAAAGTGATGTGGAGCAACTCTGTGGATTCTGTTATGACCCTTTTTTTGGGTGCAAATATAAGCCTGTCTGGGGAAAACTTTATGACTTCAGGGAATCCAGTTGCTTTAGTTTCTGTTACTCCTAGACTGAGAGGCACTAGTAATCCATTTATACTTGCCTGTCTACTCTAGAGGACTAGGTTGATGGCTCAGGTGGCTCTTTCCAGTTCCGTGTTCCTATACTTTTATCCAGAAATTTTGTGTAGCAAAGCTAATAAATTGACAACCTGGATTTAGAATGAAGGAATAAATGTCCTTGGACCCTTAAGTAGATTTGACCCTATACCTTTTTCCTGGACTAAAAAAGAAGAGGTTGGTTGAAGAGAAAATTAGCTTCCCCTGACAGTATAAGGAGCAGATCTGGAGCAGGTAGCTCATCTGTGGTGAGAGAGAAAGAGAAAGTGCTTAGATTAGAAGAGGGTGTATCCTCTTAATTTTCAGATGGTATTTCTTTACCTTCTGCTAGGACAGATTACCTTGGCTATCAAGTGCAGCTTGTGGACACAGTAGAGCAACTGCAGAAGTTGTGGGCTGGAGCAAATGGCATATTCATCTTTTCTTTCCTTTTGTCCTCCTTTTTTTCCCCATTTAATTTGTTTTTAAGAACTTCAGTCTTTTCTCAAAATACATAGTTTTATTTCTGCTCATAACTGTGAGTAGGAGAGAATTGGTTGTGCTTGATTCACTAAAGAGATTCTCTCCCCATAGATTTAGAGGGTTTTGCTTTCTGAGTAACCTGTAAAAATGGAGCCATGGTATGTAAGCACATAGCTTAAGATTCTAATATTATGCTAAATTATTATTTATAATTACATCAGCAATCTTTCTTGAGAAAGTGGAAGCCCATAACAAAATTGCAGGCACAATTAAGTTTAAAAAAAAAAAAATTAACCTAGCTTTAAAAACAGCCATTTTCTATTGTAGAAATGGAAATGGAACTTTACATCTACATGTAATACTTACACACGATGTACTGTGACATAAAATTGATTGTAGGTTTCCTCTATTGTACCTATTTACAAGAATTGGGGGATATATTGATAACACTCCCTGACAGAACACAGTCCTCAATTTTCAGACTGAGGAACTAGGTATGTGGAACTGAAGCCTTTTTAAAATGCAAATTCCTGGAGGAAAGTACTGTACCTCACAGGGTGTGCATGCATTATTAAACTGCCACCTGCTGTCTAGTTTTCTTCTCCCCCACCCCCCAAACAAAAAAAACCCTATTGACATGCATGCTAGTTGAACATATGCTTTTTTTACATTAGGCTTTATAAGTACAGACAAAATTAAAATGATAGGTAGACAGAAGCACTGTATAACTTCGTTTTCACTGAACCCAGGCATTGCAGGTGCTGCAGACAAGTGCTTTGTTTGCTTAGTTGAAAAGGCATCTTCAAGAAGATGGAATGATATCAAAAGCATGGTAGCAAGGCAAGCTTACTGTTATGTAATTCATTGTAGAATGAATGTAACTGAACTACAGTGATCCAAATCATTTATCTTTCTTTGAAATTACTAGAAAAATAGTATGTGCCATACCTTTTTCAAAAAAAGAATAATAGCTAATAAATTGGTGAAGTATGATTGGCCAGAAATAAAACCAAGAGGAAGCAGAAACAAGTGTGATGAGACAGGTTCACTGATTATTACCATGCACTAAACAGTGGGAAACATCATTCATTAACTCTTTCTTGTTTCCTCCCCGTTCTGTGTAATTGGGTTTTGCTGCTAGATTTAGAAACATCAGCATTTAGGAATGGTCTGGAATGCTTAGTGCTAGTGTTACTCAGTTACTCCAGGTGTTGCAGCTGTGGTTGTTTCTGCATGAGGCATGAGGTTCAGGAATTTCAAGTCCCAACCTTTTTTTTTTTAATACCCTTCTTGCCTTGTCATGCCTTAAAAATCAACGGGCCATCAGAGGGCGGCATGCATTTTTAGAAGCCTTAGCGTGATAAGGAAAAGCAGAAAACTACAAAAAACTTTTAAGACGAAACGTTTTTCCATTTTGTGTCTCTCTATCTCATTTTGCTGTGCTATAATTTTATAGCTGGAAAAATTCAGCTGCCTTCTGTATTTGTGGGCCAGTACGACTTTCAGGCACGTAGGACCTTATGAGATTGGAGTGCTTTAGTGTTAGCCAGAGACTGTATTTTGTTATTCATTTTGATCTGAGAATTTCCAGTGAAGGAGGAAATGTCTATCCTGTGAGGAAAGAACCAAGTTGGCTTAACGCTTTGTTTTCAGGAGGGCAGGGGATGACATAGCAGGGGCAGTGGGGGGTGTTTCTTATATTTTCTGGTGCATAAGCCGGATTTCACCAGGGGTTTTATTTGAAGTGCAGCATAGTAGGAAAGAAGAGCATGCCTAGCAGAAAAGAAAACAAGTAAGAGAGGTTTAAGTGCTAATTGTCAGAGGGAAGCAAGAGTTGACTACACAAAATGCATAAACAGGTTTAGGGAAGCGTATTTGGTGATTTACCTGCTATAAATCAGAATTAGTAAAAGTTGAATTCGTCAGAGTCCTACAAGGTTAGGTCAGAATTTAATTTGAAATAAGTCAGTTCTACCTTCATTAAAAACTTAGGGTTCATTACCTAGCTGTCCCATTAAATAATGTGTTCCTTAAGTCAACATCCTGGTTTGTTTGTTTTTTCTGGCATGTATTTTACCTTGGTCAGAAATGGAAATGTGGATGCCTGTGTTGCTTTTCTTCTTGAAAGCAATTAAAACTGCTTTGCATCCAAGATAAAGTAGTGGTGAGGCTTTGTTGTTAACAGTCATCATTGTTGGTAAATGGTGTATAGACTAGAGCCTAAAATAGAGGTAAAATATTGGCATCCATCTCAGATTTGTCATGATGGTGTATTCTTCTGCCACCGAGGCCTCAAATAGGAATTGCACAATAGATTGTGAAGGGGGGAGGGGGTTCTGCATGGTATACATTTGGGGCTCAAGAAATAAGCAGGTGGAGGAATTTATAAAATAGATCCAATCTGAGGTCTTAAATAATGACAGGTGCTTCATGCTCAGAGATGCTTCATGCTCTGTAATGAACAGAAGGTGACTGGAGACTTGATGTCACTTCAGTGTGTGCGCTGGTGGGGAGTGGGAGTAAAGCCATTCCACTTCCAGTTTCCTAATATAATCACTGCTGGTAGCATAACCTCTTGCAGTTTATTGCTCTTTTGACAACCTCTGGTATCTTAATTTTACTGTGTACATGTGTCCTTCACTTGTCTCATGTCCCTTTTGGGACCTTACCAGTCAGAATGAGCCAAAAGGCTGTTACTGCAACGTTCTTGTTCCAACCAGCTAATGTTAACCAGCCTGCTGAGCGAGTGTAATCCTTACACAGACATCTGACTCATGAAGGAAGAAGGTCCGCTGCGACGTAGGTTTTCTTCATGCGCTGGAATTTCATCCACTGTGTTTCCTCTGCGAACTGATGGCCGAAAACTTGTCCGGAATGCTTCGTTTGGAGGATACAATGAACTTTCTCCTACTTTACCAGGTTTGTGTTTTGTCTTGCTTTTTTTGCTCTGGGGCTTAACAAAAATTACTTCACCGAAACTCAACCGTTTTGAAAAACAGGCTGATGTGCTGATGGTACCAAAACTGCAAAGGAATATTGTAGATTCTGACTGGGTAGTGAAGAATTGCTAGAAAAATTTTTTTGGAAACTTTCTTTTGAAAGGAAATTGAGTGTCTGAAAGGAATGTTGTGCATACTGGACAGTGAACATTGGTGGTTGGTCTTGACTGGCTGACTCTCTCCTTTAAACCAGTCATTTGTAATGGTGGAGGGAAAAATGCAGTGCCCATGAAAATATTCACTAAGGACTTGCTTTAAAATTATACCAAAGTTTTTAAACTATGCATTCTGTTTTTGGCATTATCCTGGCAACAGTTACCCAATTTACTTACATGGTGGTGATCTTGTTTAGAATGATAAAACAAGCTGAGTTAAGGTTAAAACTTTAGTCTTGATCATCCTTTTCCTTCTCCCCAACCCCAACATGCTTTTTATTGCAAGAGTCTTCAGCAATTGACTTGATACAACCTTATACCTGTACTGACAGGGCGGTATGCAGGAAACACTGTTACTAGTTCTACCACCAGAGGATTTTTATGATTTCATTGTGTACCTGAGATGCACACACCCAGCTACTTTCTTGAATTCCTGTGGCCCACTTCGGGAAACTTTGATCTTTAAAAGCCTGCTGCTGAGCCTTTCCTCATCTGTGTCCCGCCCCCCCCTCCCCCGCCCCCCCAATCTGCAGTGCAGTTGCAGCGTGAAAATATTATTGTAAAAATGGTACCTATTTTTAGTGTCTCAGACACACGCACATAATTTTGCTATATCAGGTAAGCATAATGGAGCCAAGAACTCTAGTAGAAGAAACTAGGTTTTTCCTTTATTGAATGCCTTTAACAGAATAGTGAACACAATTCCAGTTAAAGCTCAGAAAATTCATAGAAGGCAGTTGGTTTTGCAGTGTTACTGAAGGCACGATTTAAGGTTTAAGAAGCTGTTGAAATACTGCTGCTGGCTTGATTTGGCTTGCAAAATCATTCACAGGTAAAGGTACTCTGAGAGAACTCAATTCACTTCATGCTTCTTGAATCTACGGCTTGGCAGTTTAAATCATTGTACTGGTAAGCTAAGCACATGCCACCTGGTAATCACTGGTCCAATAAACATGGATCAAAGTGTCCTTCCTCCAGAGTAGGCAATAAATACATCCCTGGCTGTCAATTGAAGAATGACATTTTCCTTAAGAAATAAGATGAACAGAAAATTAAAAACCTCTATTGGAAAAAGTCCATCTGAAATGTGCGCACACACTTCTTGGAAGCTTCATAGTTGTTAGGGTTGAGAGGCAGATCATCAAGTCCAACCCCCTGCCATGGGCAGGAGAGATTATGATTATCTTGTTGTGACTGTCTTGTGTAGATAAATATCAAGATATGTGACTTGGTGAAATAGTACATCCTACTGATTTTTGTTTAAGCAAACAACTCCTTAAGCTCACACATGTGTACATGAAATTTTATATATAGTGTGTGTGTGCATGTATACTATAGTATGGTATACTATACACACACATTTACTTGGATCCAAGATGAAATTTTTCCTCCCCATTCAACATGGGGGGTGTGGATAGCCTTCTCGTCTTGGATTTGTGTACAAGATTGGAGGGTGGGAGGCAGGTGGCTACTGCAGCTCTGACTCCTGGCCTGAACCCAGGTTGGGGCCAGTCCCAGCTAAAGCAGCCACCTGCCTCCCCCACCCCCCCACCACTTACTTCTGGGTGAGGCTTTAGCTCTATTCCCTCCTAGGGCCTGAAGCACATGGAAGTTTTGGCCCCTGATCAGCCATACAGAAGCATCCTGGGACTGGAGCTGCTGCTGCCACTGCTCTGTGCCTGGAAAGGGTCCAGAGCTTCCATGTGCTCCAGGGCTTTGGAGGAAGTAGAGCTGGAGCCATGACTGACAGTAAGAGGTGGGTGGGTAGAGGCTTTGGGGAGCAGGTGGGGGGACTCCAGGAAAGGATGGAGACTTCAGGGGTAGTAGGTAGGAGGCAGAGGCTGCAGGAGGGAACAGAGGCTGTGGGAGGGGGGGGGTAGGCGAGGGATAGAGGCTGTGGGGAACAGGGGGACAAGTGGAGGGAGATAAGGGGTAAGGGGGCCACCTGTCTGTCCCCCCCGCCCATGTGCCCCTTTGCTGCGGCAGTGGGAGGGACAAATTTTAAGACTACTGAAGATTAGATTTAATACCTAGAAAATTATAACCAAGTTACACACTTTCCATGTATAGAATCTAATTGATTTTGGGAGTCATTTTTAAATTCAATGGTGCCTTGGATTCTGGTAAATATAGGGTGGGGAGAGAGAAAGAGAGACCTGGTATGCTGAAGTCCTGAGGAAATTTCTTGAGGGGGGAAAAACAGTTGCAATGTTTTTGGGTTTTTTATTCACTTTTTTTTTTTTGGCAGTCACTCAGAAAATGGTCCAGATGGTTCAATCTTACTTTACCTCTGCCACTTTTATTTTGTTTTTTTAACAGCTGGAAATTATTTATTCTTTGATAGTCCACTTTAAAATTGGTTGTGCTTAAATACCTAAACGTTGGGAGTCCCTATGGGGCAGGTACTGATAGACCTGTTGCTGTTCTATACCATCTCATCTCTTGGTTTCAGATTTAAATTTTCTCTTGCCTTAAATATTAATATTAGACCCCTTTAATTCTTACGCAAATATTTAACTCTCCAGTTAAGTATCCTGCAAAACTGCATTTCAGCCATGGCTCAAATTAATCTTACTTTGCTTACCATGTTATCAAAGTTGGCAGTCTTGTTCATCTTGGATGTTTTTCCTGATTTATTTGTGGCTTTTGCATCAGTACTTATGTTTCCCTATAATAAGGGACAGTACTTACTTATTTGAATCCCTTGTTAGTAAACAAGGATGAACTTCATATTTTTACCCTTAAATGGTGCTCCAAGTAAGGGGGTTATTTGCGAAATGTAAGATTTAGCCCTTGGAACAAAGGAGATGCCTGTTTTTTCTTTCCCAAAGTTGATTGTAGGATGCTTAGCAAGTGCTGCTTGGCGATGCCTGAAACTAACACAGTTATGTTACAACTCACAACTGGACTTTCCATAATTAACTTAAGCTCCCAAATGTCACTCTCAAACTGTGACAAAGATGAGTGTTCAGACAATGCAATGACTGACTGTTGTGCTGAGTAATTGGACTTCCAGAGATGACAAAACATGTGTTTCAGAAAGTTTTTTTTTTTTAGTTCTGAAAATATACTTCAGCCAGAGCTTAAATGTGCTACTTGTGTGTGCATATGCACAATTTTAGAAACATCAAAATGAAATAAACCATGGCTGTCTAACTAATTGCACATGAGGGGCTTAGTACCTAGCCCACAGACCTCTGCCGTTCTTGCTGTCTGGGTCCTCGGGCTTCTCCTCCCTCCTCTAGCTTCTGCTTCCTGCCCCCATGCCTGGGCAGCACAGTCTGTGGGCCACATGGTGGAGAAAGGGAGGTGGGGGGCAGGGGGTCATGAAGACCCATGTGGCCCAGAGGTCTGCAGCCCCAAGCCACTGCTAAACTAATAGCAAATTCTGGATATATTTATTTTTGGTTAACTTTAGTGGGTTTTGGATCATGCCATATGAACCTAAGATGAGGGCCACAGTCTGGCATATGCCAAAGCTACATTTGATTTGAAATGGCGTTGAAAAGCAGGCTTAAATACAGTATAGCCCTAAAGGCTCATGACAGTATCTGTGATGAGGAGATTTTTCTAGTTGTGTATAGCTGGTCCCCAGGATGCCATGTGGGGCTATCCTGAGCAGGCACAGGCAGCCCCACGTGGACTGTGAGCGGCTGCCGCGTGGGCCGCTGGCCACAAGGCGGGCAAGCGGCTGCTTTTCCCTCACGCTCAGCATCAGCTTGTAACCCGGCCCTGCTGCTAGCCTGGGCCCCATGCCAGCTCCAGGCTCACCTGTTGGGGCTGTGCTGCAGCAGCAGCAGCTGTGGCCCCGCCACTTGCCATGGTGGGCAGTGTTTGCTGCTGCTGCCCACCTGGAGCTCCCATGCTGGGCTGCCCAGAGATGGTGGTGGCAGCCTGATCGCAGCCTACAGCAGTATGAGCTCTGGGCAGGCAGCAGCAGCAAATGCTGCCCAACATGGCAAGTGGGGGGCCACAGCTGCTGCCACTGTGGCGCAGCCCCGACAGGTGAGCCCGGAGCTGGAGTGGGACCCAGGCTGGCAGCGGGCCGGGTTATAAGCTGGTGCTGAGTAGGGGAAAAGCGGTCCCTTGCCCACCCCATGGCTGGTGCCCTGTGCTGCAGCTGCTCACAGCCCACATGGGGCTGCCTGTGCCTGCTCAGGACAGCCCTGCGCGGGCTGCGAGCGGCTATAGCAGGGAGTGCCAGCAACGGGGTGGGGGAGGGGTTGCTTTTCCCAGTGCTGTGCACCAGCTCCTTCCCTGCCCCTCCCCCCTGCTTCCCCCTTACCTGAGGTTCCTGTGCCGCAGCAGCCACATGGTCCCTCGGGGTGGAGCCAGGCATGCTGTGCTGTTGCGGAAGCCTGCCGGGCTTCCCCTGGGTCCTATTGCTCCCAGTTCCTGTCATTTTTGACAGGAACCAAGGACAGATAAATTATAATTGTCAACATTTTTTTAGGGGCCCTGCAGGCTGGATAGAATGGCCTCGCCGGCCATATTTTGCCCACCACTGCCTTTAGGGCCAGCAGGTATACAGACATAGTAGCAATGACACAAAGCCTAATGTGCAGACTCGAATATCTTTCTTTTGTTTCCATGTTGTCATCTTTCAAGAGCACATGTATATTTATAGATAGATTTGCCATTTATAGCTTCTAAAAGATGTGTTTTGTTTTTTGGGGGGGGTTGTTTGTTTTTCCAACCGGCACATTTATAAAAACAATTCTAACTCTAATTGTTTAAGAATATTGTTAGTCAAGGAGGCAGCTAATCCGACCAGAGTCCGTGCTGAGTAAAACGCTTGTTGAACAAAACTGTCTATTCAATATGTAACAGGACAACATTTCTTAAAGGCTGTAACCCAGTAGTGCTAAATGTTTCATTCCTGTAGGCTGGATGAGTGGTGTGGGGCCAATTCATGGGACAGATCCCTTGCGGGGTTGAGCCTTGCACTCCCAGCCCCACGTGCTTGATCTAGCTTGCACGGCCATGCTGTCTGGCCCGCCAGGCTCCCCACAAGTTCAGAAATTCGGCTTCAGGAGAACAGCAATTAATCCTGCTATTGCTCCCTCCTACCACGTTTTCAGACCCGTGCAGAGCCTGGTGGGCCAGATGTCATGGCTCCTTGGGCCAGGGGTTTAACATCCCTGTTATAGACTAATATTATTGTTAAGGAAGGGGAAATACTAAGGTACTTCCACCTTGTGAAAATGCATGGCAAAAATGGGGTTCTGTATAAGACTGTGGCAAGACTAGTAGTAGCATTCAACATTAGACCCGTCACAACTGAAAACCAAAACTGCTTATTGCCAAAAGGCTCCAAAATCTAGTACGTTCTCAAATATCAAATGAGTGGAACCATTGTGCTTATGTATATGATTAAGTAATGAAATCATAAAATTATGAAAAGTATACAGGTAAAACTGAGGCAACTAAATGCCAAGGAGAGAAATTGAAGCAAGATGAGATGAAGCTGGCTGTCTGCTTTTCTGAAAGTACTGATATCCCAGGCAATCTATATTCAATCTTGTATTGTACCAAGTGCAGTTAATTTTAAGTCTGGTTACTAACAAACTTTCAGATGGCAAAGGGAGGGTGGGTGTGTACACGCATGCGCATGTATCTGGAAAGAAGGACCTTGAGCCACCATGGTTTTTAAAAGGAAACTGCGAATTGCTAGGTGCCTTAAGAAGCTTTATCCTCTTAATGACAAGCCTAACGTCAGCACGTTCTTGCTTATCCCAGTTGCACACGACTTAATAAAATCAGTCCTTGCAGACTGCAGTAGTATTGTCTGACTTATTCTCCATTTAGTATATTTCTACCTAATATTCAGAAATGTTAAAGCCTAGATGCATCTCTTTGTTCTGCGTTGCATAGAAATATGCCTAAATATGTTTTAATAGTATTGTCAGAGTTCCTCTAGTGACTGTGCACAGATGGAAGTCCAAATCAGAAATCTGACTTTAGACATTCAGGCACTTTAACTGTCAGAAGAGAGCATAATGATCTTGTGTGGGTTCTGGCATAAGCCAACAGAACATCATTGAGTATTTCCAGCACTGCGCCCAATGATTTCTTGATGGAGTAGAGCATTTCTGTACAAAGATATCCATCAAGCACTTTTATGGACACATTAGTTGCTGGATAACTATCCATACTTGATGTGTGGTATTTTATTTCCATTTTTTAAAAAACTTTAACTGCCAACAGCTTGATCTTGATAATCTTCATCTGCCACGTTTGGAGACTTCCACTATTACAAATTGTCATCTTATGTATATTGCACTGTGATTAAATTACATTTCACATTTGTTTAATATTACCTGGATGCTTCATTCTTTAATCTGGTGGGTGGAATAACTCCTAAATGAAGTTTTTGGTGTGCTTACATGTATGTGTGAATGCAAGAGGATCAAAAACCAAAAATGATTACTGCTACAACTTTGTAAGCTACTTTTTAGCATGAGGCCCAAAATCGTCATGAAAAGAAACAGCCCATTTTTAATAGTGTGGTGGAAGCAAACTTCTTCATCCAAAATATCTGAATTTGTCACTTGACCTGCAGAGTGCTGGATAGGAATAAGTCTTGTTCAGGCATATCTGGTCTCCTGAGCTAGCTCCCTCTGGTGGTCTAAATCTTAATAGCTAGCTGGAAATGGTACAAGGCTCTCAACTGGCTACATCTGTTCAGAAGCATACTTTTATCATGTTAATGTTAACTGTTATCTGTCTCGTGCCTGGGCAGCTTGTCAACAGTTGTATTTTGACTTGTAAATAAAAAGCTCCTCAGTACATTCCAGTCACGTGCTTGGATTGCAACAGAAACAACTCAACAAAACTGAGCACCGGTGTGATTTTGTTCCAGTTTTGTCTCCAGAGGATGCATGGTATCACTTAGCCTGTATTCCAGGGATATGCGCGCACCCTTACTTGAACATGCATGCTAGAAAGAATTTTTGACATCGTACAACTATGCAAAGACTGCTTAACGTGCTTGGCTAGTAATTGATTGTTCTCTTGGCTTTAAGACACTCAGCAGTTGTGCGGTTTTGTTTTTATAGGGAGTTCTTTTCATTTTTTGATAGTACTGTGTGACCGCTCGTGCATATACAATTATTTTGGTATAAAAAAGGGTTTTGGGATCAATTTTAAAATTTAATACTTTGTTCATGTATGCCATACCGGAGTTGATACACGAGCACAAGGTTAAGCTATGAAGCAGTCTTCCACATAACACAAAAACTGTGATTTGCCAATCTTAATCCTTCTGTGTTGTCTAAGCATTTTCACTACATTGTGCATTATGAACATTGAATTATTGCATAGATGGTGTTTTAAGTACTTTATTAAACAAGGTAAGCAGCTTCACCTGCTACTGCTTCAGATGAATGTTTAGACATAGCTAGCAATTTCCAGTCAGTGCAATATGCATAGATATATTTTGCTCCTACAGGCTAGGCAAATGCTTGTCTGAGCTATTTTAGATGAGACTGATGTGTCCTTTGAGCAAGGGAAGACCTGCGGAGGTCTGTTTCAGCCTTATTTTTTTTTTTGAGTCCTTGTTCTTAACAGACTCTGAAAGCAGCTTTATGGTAAACAACACACTGAAACTTCAAAACCTTATTTTTATTGAGCAGTATTGTTTTCATCTTGATTTATGGTGAAGAACTGACTTTTAGTTTTTTCATTAAATGTATCTGCACCATTGTACAATGCTGACCACAAGTGAGATTTGCTAATTAAGTCTTTATTTAGTCTGGATTCAGAAATTATGTAGTGTTGTAATATATAATGGTTTGCATAAAATACTGTCTTCTCTTTAAGGTTTTGACAAAGGGAAGGATGACGCATCACAAAGTAAAGAAGATTCAGCGCATTCTATGTCAAAAAGCAAGGTAAACGAGAGCACCATCTCCAAAAGATGACTTAACTCTGCAGTTCAGCATATATCATTTGGTGTGCTGGCTTTAAATGGAAGTTTATTTCATTATAGTGAGCTGCGGTCTCATGGGTTGCTGTTCAGACTTCTCAAGAGATGAAAATTAATATTTAAAGAGACAGCTCCTTAATACTATCCTTATTGAGATGACATTAAATGCAAAACCTCGGTACAAACTCATGAAATTGTTATGGCTTCTTGTTAGGTGGCGTCTCTGAGTCCAGTGCTGCCTAATAGTTCACTGTAATGGAAAATGGATAGAAGCCAAGTCATGATATGGAACATGAACTCCCAACCTTTTCACCTATAAGTGAGAGTGTCATTCAGCAAGATGCATGTGTAGTATATCTTAATGGAATGGATTAAGGGTAGTGAAAGAAGCTTTAATATGGAAAAGCTTATTTTAATCATCTTAAGAAGTTGCAGGTTAAACTACACACACGCATTTAAAGATGGCATTTCAGAGTATACAGTAGCCAACTAGAGCCTGTTCTGCAAAACCCTGAGGCCTCCTGCATGGGAAATGCTGAACATCTAAGTCCCAGGCAGCTGTCTACTGATAAGAGTATCTGGTATTCTGTCATTGGCTTTTTCAAATTGATTTTAAAGTCTCTTTGAAGACTCATGACCTGTAGTTAGCGCCAAATGCTTTTTTCCCCCTATTTGGTGCAATTGCAATGCAAAAGCACACCACTGGTAGTACAGTGAGAGAATTAATATGTATATCACCCTGTTGCCATCTGTTTCCTAAGCAGGAATAGGAGTGACTTGAGCCAAACAAGAAGTGGAAAATAATAGTATGATTCCTGGACCAAATATCTTTTGTTAAAGGAGATTAAAGATTGAGAGCACAGGTTGCTAATCTGAGAGTTAAAAATCTTCCAGGAATGTTGCAGTCACTGAGTACCTACCCATGGGAAACCTGCAAAAGTTAAACTTTAAGTACTTTCTTCCTATTTTTTTTAAAAACCGCATAACTGTATGATTAAGGGTTCCAGGAATGCCAGAGGGTCTCTAATCTCTGTTGCAACTCCAAACCTATAGGTTTTCAAAGCTTGGCTTCATAGGAGTCTGTAAACAATGATAAAGGTTAACACCAGGGATATGCCTGGACATTGCAACATATATTGTCTTTGCATCAAAGACCTTTTCTAAAGGTACTGAGAAGTTGCCAGATCATGCCAGAGAATATATTGTGTGGAAGTCCAGTATAATAGTACATAGAACATATTACTTTGGTCTTCCTTGTCATACATTCTGTTTCTGCCCAAGTGCTTTGAAGTTGCACTCTGGGTGCATCCCCACAGCCTATATGAAGACAGAGCTTTTTAATTTCAGGTTTTTGCAGTGTTCTTTTTGTTTACACGCTCTAACTTTATCTGGGCCTTAATCCCTAATAGTATAAAGGTGTCAAAGGTTTTCATCTTAAGCAAAGGCTATCTTTGGCTATAGGGAAGGCCAGATTGGAGTACTGCATCCAGTTCTGGGCGCCACACTTCAAGAGGGATGCAGACAGCATTGAGAGGGTCCAGAGGAGGGCCACTCGCATGATCAGGGGCCAGCAGGGCAGGCCCTATGAGGAGAGGTTATGGGACCTGAACCTGTTCAGCCTCCAAAAGAGAAGGCTGAGGGGGGATCTTGTGGCCTGTTATAAACTAGTCAGGAGGGATCAGCAGGCATTGGGGGAGTCACTGTTCCCCCAAGCACCGCCAGGAGTGACCAGGAATAACGGTCACAAGGTGGCAGAGGGTAAGTTTAGGTTGGACATCAGGAGGCGCTATTTCATGGTCAGGGCGGCTTGGGTCTGGAACCAACTTCCAAGAGAGGTGGTGCAGGCTCCTACCCTGGGGGGTTTTGAGAGGAGGTTAGATGAACACCTTGCTGGGGTCATTTGATCCCAGAACTCTTTCCTGCCATGGCAGGGGGTCAAACTAGATGTTCTGCTCAGGTCCCTTCCGACCCTAGAAACTATGAAACTATTTTGTACAGTGTCTGTAAGAGGAAAGTGTCCTTTTACAGTATTTGACATGCCTCAGTTTCTTTTCTTTTAGTCACCAGTGCAAGGACAGTCCTTATCTTCACTTGCCATAGGACCGTTAGCTTGCCGCATCCCCTGGTTTAATGACCCCTTTAGAGAGAGAGAGAAATTTGCATGGAAGATGCTTTTCCAAATCATTACTTGCAAACATTTAAAGTAGATATTCCATGTTCTTCATACAACACCCCCCACCCATCAAATCCCTATTTAGAGTGGGGAAACTACAGAACTGCTACTGAAGTTCCATGATAAACTCTTACTTTATTCAGTTTTAACAAACCCTTTTACCTGGATGTAATATTGTATACCCAGGAGTACCAGCCTCCTGCTCAGTACCTTGCAGTTGATTTTTAAAGAAGCTTTGGAGATCTGTGATGTCATAGTTGAGGATACTGGAGTATTCTGAATTTAGTTTAGTATCTTTGAACTCAGGATCATTTCTCATACAAAGGAGAACTGTCTAATTTTCTTCCACCCATGGATCCCATTAGTAGAAGAGAGCAAGAAGATATGACTTATTCTTCTTGTCTTTGATCCAAGTGTCTGGTCCTGAAGCTTCTAAATCTTTCTTGACATAGAAACTAACATAATCATTTTCTCAATTTTTGTGATGACTGACTTTACTCATTCTTTAATTTCTTTAAGTAATACTTCTTTAGTGATTGAGTATTAATTGCATTTGTTTTTGCATCTTTCCATTTCTTACCTTTCCTTGGTTTGTTCTGTCTTGCCCAGTTTTGTAGGTGTACAAGATCCAGATAGGCAGGACAAAAAGATTATTTCTTTCCCAACTTTCTTCTTGTAATTCTTTGTGTGATATTTGATAGTAATCAATAGCTTCCTGTACCCCAGGATGAACTTCATGGTGACAGAAGATGGCAACTGGCTGTTCCACCTACCAAAATTTAAGGTCTTTTGTCTTCAGCGATGGGTTGGAACAGTGGTTCTGAGAACTACCTGTAACACAGTACTTCGGTACAACAGGTACCTCACTGGGAGTTGCAGTTGGTTTTTTACAATCTTTATTTTCCTTCACGTTGTGCATTGTAGTTCTCTTATTTATTAATCTAAGCCTGAAGGAAGGGTTAGATTTTTCTCAGAGCCCAAAATGTTCTGTTTCTGACAGATACCTCCATAGCAGTATCTCAATAGTGTCATATATTTGGGAATTGAGCCTTGATGTGAAGACTGAGGCTTTAGAGTTCTAGAGCTAGATTGTATTAATGTAGGGTCCTAAGTATAGGCTTTCCCTTGAAATAGATTGCATCAGTAGGTTTCATAGTTTCATAGTTGGTAGGGTTGGAAGGGACCTGAGAAGATCATCAAGTCTGACCCCCTGCCATGAGCAGGAAAAAATGCTGGGGTCAAACGACCCCAGCTAGGTGATTTATCTAGCCTCCTTTTGAAGACCCCCAGGGTAGGAACGAGTACCACTTCCCTTGGAAGTTGGTTCCAGATCCTAGCCGCCCTGACTGAAATAGTGCCTCCTGATGTCTAGCCTGAACCTACTCTGTCAACTTGTGGTCGTTATTCTTACCTGCTCCTGGGACTCTCCCATTCCCCACTGGTCCCCCCCCGCCCCGGTAAGTTTTATAGATAGCCACCAGATCCCCTCTCAGCCTTCTCTTGTGGAGGCTAAACAGGTTCAGGTCCCGTAGCCTCTCCTCGTAGGGCCTGCCCTGCTGCCTCCTGATCATGCGAGTGGCCCTCCTCTGGACCCTCTCCATGTTGTCCACTCCCTCCTGAAGTGCAGCTCCCAGAACTGGACGCAGTACTCCAACTGTGGCCTGACCAATGTTGCATAGAGGGGGAGGATCACCTCCTTGGACCTGCTCGTGATGCATCTGTAGATGCATGACAAGGTGCAGTTAACCTTACTGACTGCGTCCTCACATTGGCGGCCCATGTTCATCTTGGAATCAATAATGACTCCAAGATCCTTTTCTGGTTTATTTAGATTGACAGCCAGAAAACTTAATGTTACTTTTAGCATGTTCCATTAATCTTTTCTAATGGGTACTCCTAGTAAATTCTCCTGACATCTTTCCATATCTCTGTTCTGTTCCTGCTACTGTGATAAAATTCCTTCAGACTTTATCAACAAAGAATTTAAATTCTCTGAGCATTTAGCTATAGAATCTGAACTTCACTTAAGAATGGGCTTCCAGTATAAAATGTACAGGACCCACATTTCTCTTAATATCCCAAATTTCTTAGGCAGAATTTAGGGAAACTTAGCTTTTTCTGGGAAAAGCTGTGCTGATATAATTGTTTTCTTTGAATAATCTGAACTCTATTGTTTATCAGATAGGCTTACATTTGTGTTTTGGGCACCTGCTTCCCCAATTACAGCAGAGGAGAGAGAAAAAGTAAATTTATTTTTTCTTTAAAACCACAAAATACAAACTAAACAAAGACCTGTCCATGTTAAGGCTCCCAGGTTAAAAAATGGCTTATTTTAGAATTAAAGCAAGAACTTGCTACCAGTTCAACTCTTAAGTGCAGGTATTTATGCAGGTGCTGACATAAACAAGACTGAATGTTTTAGAATTCAGAGTTAAAAGAAACACGTTGGCATGCTGTCCAAAGTATTGTTGGAACTAATTCCAATTTAAATTGTATATTTTTGGATCTTATATTCTTGTGTTTAAATGTTGCGCTTTTTTTCATTTATTGGTTGCTTAGCTAACACTTACTTATTTTGGACTTGGTCACTCTAAAGCGGGGTTATTCAAGCCCTGGCTTGCAGGCCAGATTTGGCCCAAGGAGCTATGTAATTCAGCCTTCAGGTCTCCCCACAATTAACACTGCCACTGGTTCCCCACCCCCAATTTTCCAAGCTCTATGTGGCTGAATTGGCTCAAACCAACATGGCCCTGTACAGAGGTATTGGACCCTGTTTCTGCATGGCTGGATCTAGCCAGGGATTGATGCAGCCACATGGCAGTGGCCCACTCAGGGGGCTTATGTGGCTGCGTTGGGCTGAGGCTGGGTCAGCACTGCGCACTGGATTGGGTCTGCAGACTGGATTCAGCCCATGGTATAGCTTCAGTCCACGGGCGAAAAAGACTGGGCACTGTTGCACTATTGTGTTTAAAAGGAACTGAATAAATATCACATTGTAAACTAAGGTTTTTAAAATGGAATGGTCAGTCTGAAAAGTAAAATGGATTACAGACAACAGGTCAAAAAATATTGTCCTTTGAGGCTGCTCTAATCCCAGGGCACTTCGCTAAGCAGCCAGTGTCAGTCAGGGTTACATTTCAGTGCATGAAGAACTGGATATCTCTCTAACTCGTCTGAAGTTTATTTTTAAGTCCATACTTATTGAGCAGTTTCCAGTGGTGATTAAATAGGTTGCAATGATAGTGACAGGTGACATACCATGTAAGAAAAGTCTTCTGTAATGTTACAGGCTGCTGTGGCCACTTGCTAGTTATTGGCTGGCTCAGTCTTTTCTTCCAGTTCCCTTTCAGCTAGTGGGCAAGAGAGGCAAAGGAACAAACTTTGAACCTTTCAAGACATGACAAAAAAAAATCATGTGGTGCTGAGGCAGCACATTGCCCAGCTGTGAAAGACGACTCGGGTTTTGTAAAGCTAACTTGAGTCCTATTCCCCTGTTTGGTAGCACTTGGGGGAATGAGTTGATTAATTGCCAGGAGTTTGGGGGACAGGTGGGAGCTTTGAGAGTGCTGTTGGGCAGCTGTAATGCATTAATTTATGCACTGGACTTAATTCTAGTCCAAAGAGACTGAATATTTCTCTTCATGGGTCACTGGGGCCATGGGGAAAATTTGCATCTAGCTTGCGGAGACTGCATCTTTCCCTTCATGGGTCAGGGGGTAAGTGCCTTAATAACATTTGTTATGGGAGGAGTTCGGTAGCTGGGGGTGGAGGCACTGTAGATCAAATTATCAGGGTATTTCAGGCTCCTCCCATTTTAAATATAGTACCTATATGAAATAGAGTACTTTTTATAAATAAGAATGAAACCATTGATCTCTTGCAAACGAGTTCTTAACTAATCAAGAGTTTGGAATATTCAGCAGGGGTTCCTTAGCAACAGGCAACACATGCTAAATATTTACTGCATGTAGCAAAGCTGCTTCTGGAGGAATCACTTGCACGCTTTCAGCCCTTGAAGTATCTTATCAAGTAGAACTATAGGTTGTAAATAGATCAAATTACTGGGAATTTTGTTTTTGTTGAAGAAAAATAAAAGGAAATTGAACAGAGAGCAGAAGTCTATAGATAAACTCATGCATGCCACCAGTATTACTTTTGTGAGTGGCTGAAACATCATTCTGTTGTATCCAGGTATCTATCAATAGTACTAATTGTTTTTTATTTCATAAATTTCAGTCTGAGTCCAAGCTTTACAATGGCTCGGAGAAAGACATCTCCTCAGCTTCAAGTAAGCTCACAAAAAAAGAGTCTCTTAAGGTGAGTTGCTTTCAAAATATTTTTCTTAGGGCACTGTTTTGCCCTTTGTTTGACTTCCTGAGGTTTGACTGGAAAATATCATAAATAAGGCTTTTAAGGTGGTAGAAGAAGTAGTGTTGCTGAGTCTTTTGTCACCCCTTCAGTTTGTACTAAATCGTTTCTTACATAGTTATGAGGCGCTATGCTTCTATGATGTAGACTGGGAAGATGCACAAAATGGGTAGAGATGCCTCTTGTTGAATTACCAATGCCTTATCATGTGTTCTCCTTGTTGGTATTGCATTCTATTAGGTTTAAAGTAATCTTAATGTTAAAATTAGTAAGAAATGAGAAGCAAGATGGCTATAGACATTAGCTGATCTACCATTATTGGTGGGAAATGGCCCATTATCAATTTCTGTTGCAAAACAAGTGAAACTAAAACTTTTTTCTCTTTCCACTGTCCCTAAAAATAGCAGAGGGGGACTTTGATTTTTAGATGCTTGAGTTGGATGCAAAAGGGTGATACTTCTTAAGTCCCTTCCAGTCCTACTTTTCTATGATTTTATGATTTTTCAGAGACTGTCAAATTTAAATTGAATCTGGCCCCCAAATTAGCTTGGTGGGGCTTTTTTTTATTTGTTTGTTTTTCAACAGCATGCAAGGTAAATTTTTTTTCACCTAAATTTGTTGGCACCTTTTAGTTGGCCCTTTATGTGACTACTTTAATTTATAATCAATTACTAATCAATTTTAAGATAAAACTAACTCATCTACTACATGCATTTCTCAGGATGAGCAGTGAAGAGTTAAACAGTAAAGTAGTGACAGTCAAATGTGAAGTAAGGATCTTTAGGTTATTGGAAAAAAAAATGAAGTGGTGCTTATATGAACAGTAAAGTATTCTTAACCTTGACATTCTGTATTCTTTAATATCAGAAGTGGCTGTTCTTGAAATAATTTGGAGATACCTTGTGTTGAAAGCAAACATTCCTCTGCATCTTGATGCTGCTTCTGCATCTATTACCTGTTGTGTTTTGCACCTTGTTTTTCCTGGTTGGTTGGTTGGCTGGTTGTTTTGGCTGGGGCTTTTTATTGCGCTCACTTGCTTGTTTCCATCGATTATAATGTTGTTTCTATCTCTTTTATTTATTAATTACAGGTTCAAAAGAAAAATTACAGAGAAGAGAAGAAGAGAGCCACGAAAGAATTACTTAGTACAATCACAGACCCATCAGTTATTGTTATGGCTGATTGGCTGAAGGTCAGAACTTGTGTGAAACCTGAGCTGAAGTTCTAGCAGCTGCCTACTATTTACCTACCAGAATAGAAAAGGCTCGGTATCGGAGTGGGTTGCTGATTTAGTGTTTTTCCAGGAGCCGAGCAGCTATTAATTGAATCCCAGAGGCTTCATGCTCGACTCCTACAGGACTAATGTAGGAACCTAGCTTTTACTTAGAGTAGTCACCTTAGTTACGTCTACCTTGTGTCGTGCAATTGATTTTTGGATGAGTTCGGTTTATGATTTCTGTTTTGTTTTTTTTTCACTTTGGTTATTAATATTTAATTGTAAACTTTCTGTAGCTTCTATTAAAAGTAGCAAAAAGGTCACAAACTAACACAGCTTGCTTCTTGTTCACTTCTTGCTTTCCTCCCTTATGAACTATAATTTTCTGTAAGAAAGGTGAGAAGTACATCCCTTCCACAGCTACTTGTATCAGTAATAATGTGGTATTTTCTTAATTTAATTTTTAAAAAGATGTTACTTCTGGGTAAGCCACTTAGTTCTTTCTTTGCACAAAATATTTACCCTGAGCCATATCTCAGTGTAAATACCTACCTTATTACACTGCATAACAGGCAGGTCTCTGAAGGTCAGTGGGGGTGTGGGCAAATGTAATGATTGAAATGTTTCTAAATTTAAATGCCTAGGGGCTGTTCAGAAAGGGCATGTTTCAGCCAAGGGACACACACATGCCCCTGTGCTGTTCCTAGCTTAATGTTTCAAAACTAAAGCCTCTTCTAGCATCAGCCATGGGGGATTAGAACAGGATGTTGTGACTTGTGGCTCTGTGCTGTGCTTACTCTCCCCTGCCCCCTTATGGAGAGGGGAGACCTGGGAAGAGTAAAGAGGTGGAGAGGTGTGGGTGTGTTGGGGGCAAGGGCAGTGCAGGCTCCTAAATGGTGTTAACCTCTCCTGTCTTCAGAGTCTTGGGGCTGGAGGGCCTGGCTCTAGTGTCAGTGAGGGTTCCAGGGGGTCTGAGACAGGAGGGGGTAAGTCCAGCTTTAGCCACAACCCAGCTCTCCATGCACATGTAACCAAAAGTGAAATATTCCAAAATAGTCCCTGTTTTAAAGGAAGTGCTTTTTTGGAGCGATTCACTTGGTTTTGTGTTTTCAAAGGGCTTGTCTGTCTGTACATCCCGTTGGAATGTTTCAGTTGTTACTTCTCTCGCACCCTAAATTGGCATTGAATCAAGTGGATGGGAAGGAATAAGGTTCAGAGCCAACAAAATGTTAATCAGACATCCAGACCCTAGGCCAGTGATTCTTAACCCTAGGATGCCTTGAGTTCTTTTCAGGGGTGCTGAGGGGTGCCATAGCGTGTTAGCACTGTGAGGTGTGCAAACGTGATTTATACGATAAACCCAGAGATTTCAAATAGAAATCTGTAATGTCAAAACACTGCTTCCCCAGGGGACTTTAAGTTTCTGAGATCCAGAAGCATTTTCAGATGTTGACTTTTTGTGTACCTTCAGTTGTGTAACATCTAAACCTGTTTTACCACAGAGAAGCAGAGAATGCTGTATTATCAACAGACTTGCTTTGTTTTAGATAATAGCCATCAAATGACGTAGGCTTAATTTCTCTCTTTGTGGGAGAGATGAAATTCATTCTTTTGTCAGGTAGAATCCTAAATACCTGTTCATCCTTTTTTGTAGATTCGTGGTACCTTGAAAAGCTGGACCAAATTGTGGTGTGTGTTGAAACCAGGAGTACTGCTTATTTACAAAACCCCCAAAAATGGCCAGTGGGTAGGAACAGTGCTCCTGAATGCTTGTGAGCTCATTGAGCGGCCTTCCAAGAAAGATGGCTTTTGCTTTAAACTCTTCCATCCCTTGGAGCAGTCCATATGGGCTGTTAAGGTAAGGAACTGGCTCCTTATTTAAGACATCATTGTTTCTAGTATCGAGTAGAGGCAACTTTAATCAATAGATGGGGTAAACTTTTCTATTCTATTCAATATGAAATCTTCCAGGAATTCTGAGCATGATACAGCAGTGTCTGTTGTTGTACCCTTCTTCCAGAAAAAACCATGTGAGTTCTGATTTATGCTTCGTACATTGTACTTTTCTCCACACTTAAGTTGGTTTTTTATCTAGCAGGGGCCCTGGTAGAAAGGAGAAGGTAGTATTGAAGAAGTTAATAAAATACATTTACCTACAGAAGTGATGTTTATGTACATATGTTTAATGGGCAAGAAAGATTGGAGGGCATAACAGTATATTTTAAAATATTTAAAACATTTTTGTAGTATGTGGAGCTCATACATTATTATATTAAGTGAACCAAAGTAAATACTAATATAAGAAAAAAGAATTGATTAATTTCATCAATGGTGAATGTGACCCAAACTGTGGTTTCTTAACAAAAGCTTTTTCAGGTTATGGTATACCTAATTTTAAGGGTAAATATTGTCGTTAAGCTCTAGACCTGTTTCTGGGATTTCTGTCTTGGAGATGAATGTGAGGTATAAATGTAGACTTGCAAAAGGTAATTTTATTGCCATTGTTTATGAAATTAAATTTTTTTTTCCAAATGTTTTATGAGATGGGGAAACTTAATAAAAGAGAGTAACTTCTCCAAATTGAAAAAGGGAGCTGATTTAGATGAGTTAGAGTTTAGCTTATTAAATTCCATGTTCTGTGATTTAGATGACAAGACTGCCACTACCTCAGAGGCAAAAATCCAGACTTGCTGTCATCTTAGAGCAGTAGCATGCATCACATTTTAACTACCATATTTACTCTAAATATGACAACTCTGCCCCCTCCCCCCCGCCCCCATCAGCATGGAGAAAAAAGCCCTATGTCTTATTTGTGTGTAGGAAAACCTCACTATATATAAATATTGTACATCATTAACCTCCTGCCAAAAGCAGCATGTACTCGGCTATAATGGAAAAGCTGTAATGGAAATCAACTATGGAGTTGATTTTAAATGCAGCGAACACTAAGCATGACTAAAACACATGACCCATATTGTCAGTCATGAGTGGGGTGTTAATTAGCACATGGATTTTTCATGAGGGAATCTAAATCGCACACACACTAACCAGTGCTGAGCTATGAGGTCTCTATGGCATGAAATACTGTTGACTCTAGGGCCCAGCACAATGAACTTTATGGAAAATCGTAAGCCTTTTGGCTAATATGCATAGTGGGTGCATCTACACGTGAGCTTTACTGTGGAATTGGCTAATTAGCTCTGCAGTAAAGTGTCACCATCTACATGTGTGCTGGCATAAGGATGCAATAAATTGACTCCCTCATAAGAGAGTACTGTTGGGAACAGCACTATCTTATGGAGGAGTCATTTATTGTGGAGAGCAGAAAGCACATGTGGATGATGACCAAGACTGCAGCAGTTTGAGCTGGGGAAGAAGTTGTGGGGACTGTTACCAATAGGATTTCTTTTTTGCCAAAGCCTCCAAGGATTGACGACAGCAACTTGTCTGATGTGGTATCAAGTGAACTTTAATAGTAACCTCTATGCTGGGTGTGGGGGGAGAGAAAAGGGTTGTAGTAGTGGAGAAGTAGCTGAGGAACCAGATGTCAGGCAGGTTATAATGTGTTATAAATCCAATGTCTATATTTAGTCCATGATTTTTAGTATCCGGGAAGTTGAAGTGGAGTTCGTGTGCCCCCACGCTTCTCACAAGAAACCACTCTTTTTCCAATCTCTGTTCTGATCCTCAAAGGAAACTTACAAAACACTTCCCAGAGACAAGCCTATGAACTCCACTTCATCAACCTCCTGGATGCTAAAAAAAAAAATGGACTAAATATAGACATTGGATTTATGACACATTATAACCTGTCTGACATCTGACTTCCCAGGTACTTCTCCAGTGTTCATCCCCCTTCTTCCTCCCCCCGCCCCCCACTGTCTCTCACCCACTGACTCCTTAATCTATATCTTCGCTGACTGCCTATCTTGCATGCAGACCAGCCCAGCCTCTGGCTTTTTTACTCTTCATTCCATCCAGAAAGAGCACACACCAACTGCAGAGACTTCCTCATCCTGACCAAGGGTTTTTGAACCCGAAAGCTTCCTTAAAAATTGTTGTCCAACTATTTAAGTTGGTCTAATAAAAGATATTCGCATCTTCCCAAAGAATCTTGTCTGCCTATGTCCTTAGACCAACACAGCTACAACCTACACCCCTGTTAGTATAACTCAGTTTGCCCACTATACAAGTTGACACCCATTTTCCCCTCCCCTCCCAGATTTATTTTCCCTGCTGTAGCAGTTGGAGGAGAACAAATTCAAGGTAAACCTCCAGTAATTAGATTTTATACCTGGAAAATTTTAACACACTTATACATTTTCTATACATAGAATCTAATTGTTGGGGGCATTATTTTATATTTGAGTAAATACGGTAGTTTTATCCTTTCTAATGGTAAGACTTTCCAAGAAATACTAGAAAAAGAGAGGTTTCATTCTTGTGTTTGTGCTTTATCTGAATAATATAATTTATGAGCCTTAGATTGCTGTAAAATTTTGAAGAGCATAGTATTTTATTTAAGTCTTTCCAGATCTTATTTTAATATTTGCAAATAGATTTCACTGTTGAGACTTAGGATTATTAATTTAATAGAATCATATACAAAAGCACTTGTTTTATTTGTGTGCTGAACAAGGAGGGAGATACTGACTATTAGAGGCATACTTCCTATGCATGGGCATAGCCAATAAAATCCTGAAGCTTTATTATTTGCATTACTATAGGACCCTAGGTGTTCTTGTGAAGCAGGTCTTTACACATCTTAACAAAGACTTCATCTGTGCCTCTGCTGTGCGTAGGGTGGCCATCATACAGGACATTCCTGTTTTCTGCTACTCTGTCCTCTATTGATATGAAACCCGATGCCTTTGTCCTCTCTTTCTCTTCAAGAGGAAAAAAAAGAGGACATAAAGGCGTCTGGTTTGGTATCAATAAAGGACAACCGACTGTCCTCTATGATGGCCACCCTAGCTGTGTGTAGTTTCATTTACTTTTACATTCATTTTCCTCTGTTTAACGTGAGGGAGTGAATGTAATTCTCAATGGCTATTTCTTTCCAGAAACTGATATTTGTTTGAAATGTTCTCTTTAAACTGAACATTTAAATTTGTATTTTATTCAGTTTTTAGTTCAGTATACTTGACTATAACTTCAGAAATTTTTCTCCTGGTTTCTCCCTTTTTATTAACATACTGATTCCTCATTCCCTTCTGAAACTGCTGGATTTTTCTGTTAATGTGACTTAAAGGTTCACTCATTGTATAAAGGATAGCACAGTTATTTGACTAGTCTGCTATGACCTAGCTCTGCCAAAGATCACAAATCAATCTTAAATTGGGGTCTGTGTGAATCGAGGCTATTTTCTTAATTGCTTGGCAATGAGTGCTGGATTTGTTTTCTGTTTTTTAACTAGATATTTAGAGTTTAGAGGACATTCCCCACCAGATTTTAACTATTTTAAGGTAGGTCAAATTTTAAACCTGAACAAATTGATATCGTCCACTTTTAAATGTGCTGAGGGCTGGAGTGGCATTTGTTCATTCTGGTATGGCTATATGCAGATTATTAGTTTTAATTAGCTGAAAGTCCCTGAGGTTTCCTGTCTTGTCCCTGGTCAGTAACTTGCCAGATACGCTACAGATCATATTTATTCTTTTTGTGGCAGGACTAACTTTTTCACAACTTTTATAACAATAGCTGCAAATAACTGGCTGGAGAATTAAGCTAATGAGAGAGCTAGTTGCAACACAGAACAAAATTCATTGGCAACCAGTCTGGGGAAATAAAATGGTTTCGAACTTTTAATGCAAGTTTTATACGTCCTGCAGAGGTCATGCTTTTGCTGCAGTACACTTCAGTGTCTATGCCCATCTATTGTATTGCTGCTCTCCCAGTAAAAACTAGGAGTGCACAAGCAATCTTTCAATTTCTCCCTGAAGAAACGTACCCTCTCCAGGAGAAGATGTTCCATGTTCACACTGGAAGGAATCTCCCCTCTGAGGGAGTTTCTTTTTGCACGAATGAAATCCCTGGATGCAGCTTCATGCCCCCTCTGAGTCTGGGGAATGGCGGGGAACTTTGTCCTGATGTTTCACTCCCCTCTTAGCCCTGTCAAGGAAAGGAGTGAAGCAGCTGACTGCTACTTTTGTACCTCTTTCCCTCGGCCAACAACTTCCTGGTCTGGGGAGTGGGCAGGGGGTTTTTGCTTTGCTGTTTCGACTGCTCTGCTCCCAGACGCTGGGAGTGAAACACAGAAGCGGTTGCCCACTGCCCCCTTCCTGTTCCCCAGACTGAGGGTCCCTGGTTGGAAAGGCATGGAGTAGTCTTTCCTTGTCCTCCATAGTCTGAGGGGTGTGAAGGAGCCACTGCTCTGCATGCCTTCTCCAGGCTGGGATCACCCTGATTTGGGGAGCAAAGACAACTGCAGGCTGCATTCCTGTACAGCATCCTCTCTTGGAAGGATTTCTAGCAGTGGAAACTTATCAGGAACTTCCACTGCTAGAAATGATTGACTGCTAATATCTCAAAACAAGTCCCTCTATTTTCTGGTTATAATGTTCTGAAGCTTCCAGCACGCTACTACTGTGTTCATTTTCCCCTCAACCACTTAAGTGAAATAGTGACACTATTTGCTGTGCTGAGACTTGGATGAACTAAGTTTTCCAATGAACAGGTCTGAATGTATTTTAAAACATTCTTTGTTCATACTTGCACCCATTTGTTTGCTTTCTGTAAGCACTCAAGATGCTGAGTTTTATTGACTACAAGTTTTTTGCTGAGAGTAAACATCAAAAACCATACACGAAACTTAAACAAACATTTGTGCTGGGAGTAGTGCACAGACACCCAGTCAGAACCATACAAGTACAAAAATGTATCTGAGCAACTGTTTGCTGTCTATCCATAGTTTTTTAAATAAGAAGAAAGGTCCAGTGCTTTGGCAAGCAGTTATCGAAAACGACTAGCTTTGGATGTCACTGAAAAATGCCCATTCAGCTCCAGTCTTTTTCAATATATTTTGCCCAAGCCTTTAAAAATCAACATTTTTTTCACTTGAACAGACCCATCTTCATTTCTAAATTGCATCAGCGCAGTCCAGAATGATTTGTGATTCCAGCATATGAGTCTCACCTGCTGGATAACACTAAATGAATTGGCTGACTTGTGCTGAAGCCCAAAATCTGTCAGCGGTGAATTACCTGCAGCCAGTTCACGTAACATTTCTCACAGTACTGCAGTACCCTTTCCTTCAGTCATAGCTGTCTTGAAATCAGTTGCCTGTATGCTCTTTAATCTTATTAGTTCTTGGTGATCTATGTTTAGAGAAGCAACAGTTCTTCTAGCATGAAAAGGGCCCCTTGTGAAATTTTCTGTATAGTTAACTCCCTATCATAACTTCCTTTCTCCCAAATAATACTTATAACTGTACAGTCTCTTTCATCTCTGTTTTGAAATATCCTCATGAAGGACAATTTTTTATCACCCTTTTGCTGCTCTTATTCTGTAATTAATGTTCAGAAAATCCTGACCATCTTCTGTACCAGAAATAGCCTGTATGTATTGTTTTTTTTTAACCCTGCCAAGATTTATTTCCGTACTTAAAATGTTCCGGCTGTTTCATGTGCTTGCTTCTAAAACCATTGTCCTTATCTGCTTCTGCTCCAAATCTCAGCTTGCATATAAATTCCCTCTTCTAACTCTAGTGCCTTTTTTCATTAGTCTCACTTGGGGAAACACACTGAGACCCAAAGGGATTTTCTTTTCAATTAGGTTGATGGCGAGCAGGTTTAGCGCACCTTTCACCACGGCTGCCAACCTGTTACTATTGTCCCTTTTTGTCTGTCAATCATTTAAAAAATTCCTATAAATAAAGTTTTAAAGAAGGCTCTAAAGGGGTGTTCACTGTTTCACCCTTTAGCCATGTGGCAGAAAGAAAAAGGTCTTTAGGAACAAGTTAAATCAGAGTCTGCAGGACTTAATTTTAGGTAATGTGGATTTCTGTATCCCCTGCCTCTGTGGGGATCGTAGTGCACTCTCTTCTGTTGACACCTCCAGCAGAAATATACTCAAATACTACACAAACGAGGAGAGTGCTATAGTAACTACAGTTGCAGTTAGTGTCCTCTGTCAGCTACTCAGGCCTGTTTGTGTTGTCAGGAAGCCTTAATCTGGCATTTTGGAGAAAAGGTAAGAGCACAGGTAGCAGAGCAAAATGCTTTTAAGTGGTCAAGCTTTTGGTCATGTCACCTCGCAGTTAACTTGAAGTAGACCTGTTAAGTGAAGGGGGAGTGTCTTGTCCTCTTGTGACTTGATCTTGTGTTTTCAGTGGCGGTGAGGCTATGGCTGTAATGAACAACAACAGCCTTGAAGGGGAAAGTATATGGAGTTTTGCTCTTGGCAGCTGCTGCTATTTGGAAAGAGGCAGGAGTAGATAGAGTTGGTTGCTATAAAGAATTCGGCCTTTTCACTTGAGGGAATTTGTTGTAAACTAATTCTTGGATTCTCACATAACAGTGGCTGTTTCCCAATTTGCTTATTTTCACTCTGGTCTCCCAATGCAACATAGAACTGAATAAGAATAGGTCCCAACAAGAATCTCTTGTAGGCCTGTAGGGCTAGGGACAGACGTTATACATAAACTAGTTTAAGTGATCAGGAACTGGTTTAAACCTGTAACAGAACAGACATTCAGTGCACATACCAGTTTGAGGTGAACCTGGTTGAACGTAGTATCAGATTTAACTGATTTAGGTCTGCTCCAGAGCAGGGCTGGCCCTGCCCCTCTTCTCCGTAGCTGGAGCTCTGGTGGAAATGAGGCACAGTAGTGTCTGCCTGGGTTCCCCTGACACTTTCCCTCTTCCCCTCCCACTCCCTGCTCAAGCAGGGATTCCCCCTTCCCTCTCTGAGCACAGACCATAGCCAGCATGTGGTATGCTAGCTAATGCTAAGAGGTGTCTGTGCAAGGCAGACAGGACAGTCTGCTCAGGGCAGGGGTGGGTCATTATTTTGGGTGGAGGGCGCCTTAACAAGTTTTGCCAAGCTGTTGAGGGCTGTATGAGTAGCGCTGCCCCTGGTCACCGTCTTGGGACTGGAAGTCGTGCCCCCTGACCTTTGCCACCAGAAGTCCCTTCCCTTGCCCCCAGAAATACTCCTTTCAGCAAGGGGTTTTGCCATCTCGGAACCAGAAAAATACCAAATTATATTCTAAAAATCAAACATGTACAACATTCATTAATTTGATTTCAAAAAATATTTTTGGTCTGATTTATGCGTTTGTGTAGTGCACATAGAGGTAGTTGTACAATAGCTTCAAATGAAGTCTTACTCTTGTATACTGTTGGGGGAGTGGGTATAGGTTTTTGGGGGGTCATGGGTGTGGGTATGTGGAGTGTGCATGTGTGGGAGGGGTTGTGGGAATGTTGATAGGTGTGGGGTGAGGGAGCATGTGGATATGTGGGGTGTGGGTGGATATGGAGTTTGTGTGGGGAGTGTCAGGGTCTGCATGTATGGCAGTGAGAGGGAGGGTGTGGGTACATGTGTGTGGTGGGGTGTGTGTGGGACTTGCCCTACGAACAGACACGCACTTACACTCTGTGCCTCCCTCACTGCACACGCGCACACATAAGCGCACACTCGCACACACCCCTCCCACTCCTGGGCCCATGCTCCCATGGTCCAGTGATTCAGGTGGGAGCCACATGGTGCTGGAGCAGCTGGCGGGCATGCAGGGAAGCAGTGAAAGTGGCAGCAGGCAGAGACTTCCAGTTGGGAGGTGGGGATGGGAGGGGTGGGGCTGGGCTGGCCTTGCTCCTGGGTTCTGTCAGCTTCCCCTGGGTCCTACTGTCCCTGGCTCCTGTCATCTTTGACTTGCAGCCAGAGCAGATTAATATTAACTTCCTAAATTTTTTAGGTGCCCAGCAGGCTGGATAGAATGGCCTGGTGGGCTGGATATAGCCCACAGGCCATATTTTGTCCATTCTTAGCTTAGAGCTTTTTAGAGCTATTCAGCAGGTCAGCTGGTAATGTTCCCTCCGTTTCTTCCTTGGAAAAAGCTGTTTAAGAAAAGCT